ATATTTTTAGATTTTAATTACTTTTATAATAATAAATAAAGAATAAATATGAAAATCGAGAAATAAAGTACTTACCCTAATCTTTTTTTTCTTGCTCTCAGGTTTTCGACGAGAGTTAACCATAATTTTATATGCTAATGCTAGTAATACACTTAATTTTTATTAAATTAAATATTGCACTAAAGAATATAGACTAATAACATGCAACAAGAGCCATTACAAATTCATCCAAGCTAGTCGTTAACTTTCCCCATGGGATTGAATCTTATACTGTGAGAGAAAATGACGATATTCTGTTCAGAACACAACATTATACAACACGTCATTTGATAGATGAAAACCTTGACTTTCTATTGGTTATAGGTAATATGTAATGAAACATAAGAGAGAACTATCAATGAATTGTGAGAGAGAGGACGTGATAGGTGGGTGTGGCAGGAGGGTTCTGATTTTCTAATCGATAGCTCTGTAACCAAACAAAATTTAAGGCTATAAAAATTATGGTTTGTTTGATCAATAACAATTTTATAATTGTTTAATTTCATACTTTTTCGAGGGGTGGTGGATCAAATAGGGATGATGACATGCTAAGAAAAAATGTGTCATGTGGGTCACACTAGTGGAAATTCAGGATTTTTTAAAATATTGCCTTGTAGAATTAAGAACTTAAAACTTGTATACTATTAAAATATTGATTATTATCTAAGATTTTATGCTTTCTAATTGATATAACATAAACAAAAAGTAGTTTAATAAAAGTTTGAATATAAGACACTAAAAAGGGTAAAGGGTACCCAAGGCAATAGGGTTAAGCAAGGATATTTAAAGTTAGTGAGTACAGAAAGCAAGTTTTGCAATGGCAAATTATTCAAACAACACAAAATCTTTCTTTTTTTTATGTATGTGTATAAGTAGAGATAATTACTGAAAACAATCATTAATTATTACAAAGAAATTTAGCTTGACCAAAATATACAGTTGGACAAGTACTGCCTATATCAGTGTAGGCCTAATATACAAGTGCAAGTTATATTTCTGCTAGTCAACACAGACTGTTCAGTGTTTGCTATTTTCAAGGCTACATAACTACTTCAGTGGGTAAAAATAAATTATAAATACAATATTTTGTACAATATCAAACAAGTTAGAATTCGTTGGTTGCATAGAATTAAACTTTTTGATCAATAATAAAAAATGCAGTTTGTTTATTTCTTTCTTTCATATTTGCCAATAGTTATTTTCATTGTTTCAACAACTGTATTAAAAGACCAAAAAAATGTGTATGCTGTAACTATAATAATTTTATTAGGTATGCACAAGTAGTAAAATTTGGCCAAATACTAGGTCTGAGTACTCAGCAACTAAGCTTCAGCTAGGTCTGGGTGTCAACCAAGCCTAGGTTCTCCCCCTCCCCACCGAAAAAAAAAAAAAAACATACACAAAAATCACAAACAAAAACAAAATTGACGTTTATTACATTTAACCGAATAATCACCAACAGAACATTCCAGTTTTACTTTCAACTTTCAAAATTAAATAAAAAATGTGCACACCAGTTTGCAGAAGGCCTGTATTTTTGGAATTTGTTTAAATTGTACTTGAAGAACACTAAAATTACAGCAATTTCAGGTAAAAGCCTTGACCTTTTTGTGTATGATAATGTTGCCAGCAGTGCTAAAAGCCAGTTGGCTGTCTACACTGGTCAGTGATGCAGAGAGATAATGCTTTGCTATTCTGGCCATTGTGGGAATCAAGCTTCATTTGACTTCCAAAAGTGAGGCCAGTGAAAGTAAACACAGAAACTGATGTTGACACATTTTAGAATCATTATTCAGATTAATGCCTAGCCCTAACTTCTCAAACCCTAACCCCTATTGTTCTCAAAACCCCCACCTTCCCCAGAAATCCACTTCTCGAGCTGTTCCTGTTGTTAAAACCTCTACTGTTCTCTGAATCCCCAACTTTCAGCAGGTGGTCAGTCTTTGTTGCTCGGAACACGTATTATTGACTGTAACTTTCAGTACCGCGTAAGTTGCCACAAGGATTAGGGCTTAGATGCCATTTTCAATTACCCAGATTCCACTGTTTTTAACTTAAGCACTTGGCCAAAGCAGAGTATTACCGGGTAGCCCAATAACTGGTCGGGGCTGAATATATAGCCAGGTACCCGTGCATCCCTAAATGTTATGGAAAGAAATGGTACTACTGGATACATTTACATTTTAGGCACACAATGAAAATAAAACAAACTAAAATGAAAGGAAGTAATTTTTAATGTTTCTTAAATTCACAACTTAAACAACTACACAAATACTAAATCAAATTATATAATTTTATTAAGCACAAAGTATTATGTGGAAAGTGTGAACCAAATTTCATGCAATTTGATTAATCATTTTCAAAACAAAAAAGAACCCAGGATATCATCAAAACCCTGCCAGCTAGTAAAGAGTTAAAATAATACCTCAACACCCTGCCAGGTAAGAAAGTGTTGAAATAATATCTCATATGAGGTTTTATGTCTTAAATTAACTTAGGATGATTGCAAATGCAAACAGGCCAACTTATGAATCATGATCTTATTGCATATTTTAAGTTATTCAAATGTAGAAAGTGATGGATCAAACATTTATTTCAATTTGGAAAAAAAAATTAAAAGTCTGTGTCATTTCTTATGCCACAATAAAGGTAAGTAGCTCTGAGTTAAATATAACAGCTAAATTCTTTATAGGATAACATATCCAGCAGAAACCGAAAGTAATAATTTTATACTTGAAGCTACAAGAACATGGAAATTACCAGATTTTAAAACCTACGTTCTTTAATAACTATTTTCAAGTGTTTTGTTTTTGAGGCTAACACATCAATGACTAATTTACTTGTTACCAGGCCATTTGTTCTTATAAAAAGTTGCTTACTTATGATAACTATTTTCAAGTGTTTTGTTTTTAAGGCTAACAAACCAATGACTAATTTACTTGTTACCAGGTCATTCGTTTTTATAAAAAGTTACTCACTTATAAAGAAAGTTTCATTCTCATAGGAACCATGAATAATGATTACATTTATATCTTTAAGAAACATAATACTCACAGTAAGCTGATTTAGTGACAAGTAGTTTTACAACCACAGCTTCATGATCAGAGTAAGAAACTGTTCCATTAGGAATCTTTTCCAGAGGTGTTTCACATGAGAAACATTCAGTTTTTACACCTAAAACAGAATATTACTGTGTGTAATATTGTTCTTTTAAATTGCTACATTTTCATAATCAGCCTGCCTTAACTATGCATGTAGAAATGGTTATATAACTAATGTTTCTTTTACACGAGGAAAGTAGTAAGTAATATACATATACTTATTTATTAACATTTGTTATTCATTATTATTACTCTGTACAATTATAGATTTTTCACAGTATACATTATTTGCAATACTGCTTATCACTAACTTTAATACAAGTGCATCAGTGTCCTTTAACTCTCTCGCTATAAGTTTTAATATGTTTGTGTATTTTCCCAAAAATTCACAAGTTTTCAGTAAACATTACAAGCCATTTGTAGACAAAAAGTCATGACATGTGCACTTTGACCTACCCTTAGCAAGACAGTCAAACTACCACTTGAAGAGTGTAAACAGACTGTTCCTGTGCTATTTTAGTTAAGTATACACACAAGGTCAGCTTACCTTTGTACAGCTAGAGGGAAACATTAAACATAGCTAATGTGAAATTAAGTATTTGGAAACTACTTTTTTTAAAAGTCAATCTAAAAACCACTTAATCAGTTCTATATTTTACAATATCATAACTAAACAAACATCCTAAAGAACATCATTAGAAAAAAAATGTATCTGCAAATACTAATATTATACAACTTTTTAATAATTAGTACCTTAATCACTATTAAATGAAATACTATGCAAGTCAGTAAACAAAAAATAGTTTGTTTTTACACTGTACATTTAGTGTTCAATAACTGATTTTACCTTCAAAATTGGCTGATCTTTTTTTAACTGACCGAATAACTATTTGAAATATCCAGATGTTTACAAGATTACTTGATATCTACACCAAAATTCTTAATCATTTTTTAGAACTTTCACACAAAGTTACATTTGACAATCACTTTTATAGCATGTTCAAGTCCCCAAGGTGCAAGTACATTTTTGTAGCAAAAGGATGTAAACCATGAATCCCTGGATATTTTATTTTGTTCACAGCCAGATACACTAACCACTGGATCATGCCTTAATTAAATGACAATAACTTATCATAGTGATTAGAAATTTCCTTCATAATAATAACCATATACAATACAAGTAAAAAATGTCAGTTTGTTTCTACGATGTCAAATATAACTTTTTAAAACCTGAGCTAATTTTCTTCCCTTTTAGTATAAGGCTTCTCAACACTGCACATTCATGAAAATGGATAATTTCTTAGTGTTATGTGATAAAATAAAAAATTACCTTTCCCGTGTTTAAGAAAAACATAGTCAATCCGTATGCCCTGTGGAGCATCAAATAATTCCTGTTTAGTTGTGTAAGTATTCCTTGGGTGACCACAAGTTGCACCACTGCCTTTGGAATCCTGCTTTAAAAAAAAACATGATAAACAATTTTTAACTTTACCTACTGTACTGTTGTATATTGAAATAATTAGCAACATAAATTAACATTATCATAACAGTTGTAAATGAACAGTAGCTCTTCTACCTATTACTGGTCTGGCAATACTGGTTGTCACAATGTTAATAAACATTCCCTATAACATTATATAGTCATAACCAATTGTATTGATTAATAAAAGTAACAGCTTTACTGAAAACTTTAACATCATTGGAAAATTGAGATAATTTACTCCTTTTTACCATGAGCATCATTTATATTCAAAACCAACAAAAAAACAAAACAAGGTATAGTAATCAAGTCATGAAATCATCTATTTACTATTTCTACTCTTTTTTTTTTCCCACACAGACTATAACAATTCTAAACCTCATTATCTGACCTGTTCAACAATATGTGAAGGATCTACCATAGCACTTAGCATTACATGTAGAATCTTATCAAAAGATAAATATCATCCACAACAGTACTCCAGCCCACAAGAAGAGTTATAAAACATTTAACTCTCAAGTTACTAACTTGTTTTTATACCATTCACAATCAATAGAATCAATATATTGCATCATAATAAGTATTTCTATGTTTTTTCTTTTATAATACTCAATGTAAAGAACTGTCTAAAAGGAGGTAAACTCACTCATTTTCTATGTAACATATGTAATAGACCTCAGGAGCAGTTAGTGGAATTAACTAAAATATTGGTTTTTGTTGAAACTTACTAGACCACACGGTTGTCACTGATATCCCCCTACTAATGGTATAATTATTCGGACTATTATTCTCGCCTTTATTATGTGTATTATTATTATTTTCACAAAGTTTCGACCAGTGAATTCTCCAGCCTTTGTCAGGTGTTATATCAGACATTTGTGTACGTGTCACAACCAGAAATCTTTTTGTGGAATTACCAGTTTGGATACAATGAATTTAATAATATTCACTAAACAAGGATTTGAGTCAATGAAATATTTAGCTGTTGCCTATCATACTTGCTAAATCTAACTATGCTTACCTAGGGTCTTGTAAAAGAAGAAAATTTCTGTAGCTTCTAAAAAGAGATATGATTTAACACAAACATTTTTAGGAATAAAACGAATGTCCTAAAAAACGCCTGCTTCTAAACTTTTCATTATATTTCTTTGCTCACGTCCATAAGAGCTCCAGGTAATCAGTATCTCAAGAAACTACAAATTATTCTTCAAACAACTATATTTTATTTGTATTGACACATAGAGATTATAATCTGCTCTATCCACTAGTATTTAGCTGTTGCCTCAAGCTACCTTCAAAGCTGAACTTCATTAGCAACTGTTCACACCATACTGTGATGTGACATGATAAAAATGTAGCAATAAAGGACTATAATAAAAATTCAGAGAAGGAAAATCATGCAAGAAACAAGACATAAATGAATATATTCTCAAAGAATGATAGTTTCTTAGTAAAGGTAAATAAATACTTTGGAATAAGCAGAAAATGACACTAAATAAATACGATATAATGATATAGTAGCAAAATATCAATTCTGAAATATCTCCAATTATTAACTGTTGGAGTATTTACAAATATCATTTTGTGTACTTGAATTTTGATTCGCACATGTGCAACTCAGTATCTGAAAGCTGCTCTGCAGTCTAGGCAGGATTAAATTTACATGATACATATGTTATTAGGGATCTAGTAACCAATAAAGTCATTGACACAAAAGCACTTTGTTGTATCAGTAGTTTAACTAAAAAATTTATTAAAAAGCTAGAGTCCATATGGGCCATATTAGTATTTTTTTTATGGTTAAAGATTTTGGCGAGTCAAGAAGTTCTTTCTAAAACCATGTTTTAAGCTGTTTATGGAATTTTAATTTTCAAAATGATTTTCTATATGAAGTTATATGAAAGTGGACATAAATGGTTTAAATTTCATCCCCTAACCATCATACGTAAAGAGAAGCCATATGCTATAAAAAACATTCACATGTACAAAAGTACTTACAAAGGGGCAAAGATTATTCCCACACTGACAAGTACTAAAAAACATGCTTATATTACATAAAATGTCAAGTTGTCTAAATAAATATGCTCTGATCTACAATTTCAACTTTGATTAACAGATACTCGATAGATCAGGTCATTAATTTTATCATTCTGTTTAAATAAAAACACTATTTTATTGCTTTAAATCATTTTTGCTATCATGATTTTCCACTCATTACAATACCAGAAAAAAAGGTTTACATGTATATAGTTCATAAGTACATGTGAAATTGATGACCTTATAGCAGTTATATTTTAATAAAAGTAGGCTTTCCCTGAAAATAGAAAAGTAAAAACTACATTGCTCATATCATCAGGAAGTATCTCAGTGGAGTGGCCCCAAATGTCAAAAATTAGACTTAATTGATACAACTCAATTGGTAAAATTACAAATTACACAGGCCTGTGATGGTTTTGTTGTCTTGAAATCTTTACATGTTTTACAGTAATTCCTGTATGCTGACACACAAAATGATATCCATTTTTCTCCATCACGTACAGATTTTTCACAAAATGTCATATATACTTTTATATAAGTGAATCATTTTCTTTGAAATCGGGTCACATTTTTTATGCTTAAAATGCTGTCAACCACTGGCTATAGATTTCTCTTGACCAATCGTGACATGAGAGTCTTATCAATCATTTTAGAACCTATGAGAAACACCACTAGTATATAAACGGTCAACAGGCTGCATGACATGTCATTTCTGGATAGTATTTCTTTGTATGTGCACTTTGACATTTATTTTTTTTCTTTTCAATATTATTTATTTGTTGCTATGGCAACAAGAAGTTGTGCAAATAACCAAAACATATATTTGTGGTAAATTTGTTGGAATGAAACAAAGGCAAAACATTACCAAATTAGTCAAAAAAGCATATTATGCATATTTTGGAATAAGTTGGAACAAAGACAAATCATGGGCTCTGCAAAAAGTTTGCATCTAAACATGTCAAAGAGTTGAGACAGTGGACTAAAGGTAAGAAAAAGTCTTTGCCTTTTGGAATTCAAGTCGTCCGGCATAAGCCTAGAAACCATGGAGATGACTGCTATTGTTGCTCATGTACATTCAAGGCTGCAACACTCAAAATAAAAAGGAAATTTCTTATCCAAACCTTCAATCTGCAGTGAGACCTGTTGCTCATGGACCTGATATACCTGTACCTACTCTTGATACAGTTTCATCTTATTCTGGATCTGATGTCAATAGAAATGATGATAAGGATTGTTTTCAACCTGAAACATCTGGAAAAGTATCATCAAGACATCAGGGAAATGGAGAGGAGGCATCAAGGAAGGTGGAACATCAACATGATGGCTGATTACTGATGGTCATTGAAAAGAGATGTTCCAGATGTAATACATAAAAGAAAGACCACAACACGTAGTTTGGAGACTAAAAGATGTAGATTTCACACAAAAATATCAGGATGAATGAGAATGCATATTCATTTGACATCAATGTTCTTCTATTTTCTTCAGTTTGTTTGTATTTTTGTTAACAAACATAATAATAATAATAAAGTTCATTGTGGTAAATGAAATAATAATTTGATCGAAGTAAGTTTTTTCTTCCCAATTTGTAAAAAATCCTTACGTGATAGAAAAAAATGAATATTATTTTCAAAATCTGCGTAGCTGAATTATGGAAAATCTGTGATTAAAACCAAAATTACTTTTATGAAGTTTAAATTTGCAGGCCTGTGTTATTAACTATCATTAAACCATAAACACTGCTAACACAACATGCACACACCCCAGTGTGACTTGGGCTGATTTCACTTGGGTGGAAGCCAGTCAAAGATTTTCTGGTGCTAATGACTAAAATAAAAAAAAGTTCACCTATGGAAGTGAGTACTTAAAAGATTATTGTTAATACTTACACTAATAGTAGGTTGCATTAAAAATGTGTCTTGAGAACCAGTGTTGTTAAGAATAATTCGATATGGAAGATCTTCAGGTTCAGTATTAAAGTCTCCAGCCATAATGGCCAAATCAGCAGTTTCACTGGTCAGCTGGACAAACTGGCTAAACTCAAAAGATTGGGCAATTCGATGGGCCAAATACTGGTCATGTAGTTTATTGTACTCAGCATGTAACTGTAACAAAAAGGTATATTTTTTACATATATGTAAAATTAGTTACAGTAGTGGTTTTCAAAACTGATTTCCACGTAACCCTAGGATTTTGCAAAAAGTCATAAGGGGGGGTTCCCTACAAAGATAACAGGTAATGGCAGTTTTTTTTTCCAGTTACTGAGTGTTAACCCATGAGGGACTAAATGTATTTTTATATATATTTATTTACAATTTTATATTAACAATAATGTTACAAACTTCATAACTTTCTTATAGGCTGGGCTTTAAGGGAAGGCTAAGAGTTGGTGTTCTGTAATAGAAGGAATGAAATAAAGAGGGTTCCATAGCTTATAAAGTTTGAAAACCAGTGATTTCAAGAAATTAAAACTTTATAAGCTAAAGTGATTGCTAAATATTATATAAAAGAATTCTGAAAATAATATAGTGATTACAAGTTGTAATTAAAATTTTATACATTTTCATCACCCAGATTGCTCAACATAATACTCAAAATGTACAATTCCATAGAAAAATAAGTTATGAAAAATATCAGTGAATAACAAAAAATACTTACATGTGTGACATACAGATTTATACGAATCCCTCGATGCAGCACTTTGCACAAACCCACAACCTTGCCACCAAACCAATCACCATGTTGTATCTTGTGAGCATATCCATTAAGACTAAAGGCATGGCTTCCTGTATCAATAATACAACTTCTTGAGAAGATACAAACTCCGCTTCCTATAACTCCACTGGAAGAAAATAAATTAGATAATTTATCAAAGATTAATGCGTTTTAAAAATATATCCAATATACTAAATTTCAAAATTGTTTATTTTTCAACTAATATTCTGGTTTACTTGAAAATATGAACACTGGGACTTCAAAAGGTACTAAAAGTTACAGTTCAGAATTCTATTTCACTAATGGGTAACTTCAACACCAAATGCAAAGAATAAAAAAACATCAAGAACAAATAGGGAGAAAGAGAGAGAGAAAACGTTTCAAATGATGAGTGAACCTACAATTAGAACAAACAATTATAACAATCAATATATAAACAAGTTTAATAAATTCATCAAATTGATATTGGATTGTTGTTCTCAACTTGCCAATGTACTTTAACAAGTCTTATCTCAAAGGTAAAAATCTACTTATCAAATAAGGTAACTAAATCAATGGCAACTTTGAAAACCATGAGTAACAAAGTTTTTAAATTAGAGAGTTGATATTTGAAATTTGGCACATTCAAAATACAACAAAAAAGTGAAGAAACAGTA